AATATATCTGTTGATATTACAATGTGCTAGGAATTCAGAGGTGAATATGGAACAGTCTCCTGTTTTATGGAGCTTGCATTCTATTTGGGGAGACAAATCTGTGGTGTTTCCTGAACTTAGTGGAGGGAGGCGTTAGTTTATTGCAGTCAGGCAGGAGAGGAGATTAAGAAAGCAGTGATGGGTGGGTGATAGTTTAGCTGTGTATGGTTTTATTTAGTTGGCTGTTTTTTTTCATTTTTCCAGATTCTTGCTCTCTTTAAAAATTATTTTATTGAGGTCACATTGGTTTATAACATTGTCTAAATTTCAGGCGTACAGCATTGTATTTTGGCTTATGTATAGACTGCATCATGTTCACCACAAGCTGGCTTTTAATTTCAGGCTCCATGAGTCGTCATTGTAGGGAATAGATTTTATGGAGGATAGACTTAAAGAAGCTCAGGACTCTTCAGAATGGAAAGATGAATGCCAAGAAAGTGCAGTCATCAAAGTACACATAAACTTGCTTGCTCACTAGGCCCAAAGATGGTAAAAGTAGGCCGTACTTCTTGAGGCCAGAGGAGTTGGTTTTTAAGGTCTTCCACGAATGAATCCAAGGGAACCGGGATATCAGGAGTCAAGCTTTGACTGTGCTCTGACTACCACTTTTGGATGGTATGCTCACTAAGGTGTATTGACTGTTTATAAAGTTTCATCTCTTTTAAAGCTTGTCAAAGTGTTGAGCACACAGTGGGTACAGCTGGTAGTCTAGGAGCCTTCTAGGTACCTGCTAAGAGCGTGGAGCACAACTGCCCCTGCATCATCCATCTCTCCATCCATCTTCTTCCTTGGTGCCGGGAACACAGCAGACTGATTCCTTACTGGCTTGTCTGTCTCCTCCATGACCTTGTAAACCATTGCAGGACCAGGTCTTACTTAACTTTGGTTTTTTTTTCATCCTTCCTTTTGAATGCTTAAAACTGAAAATGAATACAATTACTTTAGCAGATGCTTTTAAAAGAGAGGTCCTTGGTACAGACCTTGCGATGCCTGCTTTGGGATGTAGGGAAGAAAGTTACATTCTTTCCAAACTTTTTGGACACACATATATGGAAATTTTGGGTAATTTTGAATACATATTTTCTCTCTGTATAATTATGGCTAGAAATAAATGTAGAGAGGAACAGAATGTGTTTTCCATACTTGACAATGTATGGTCTCCACAGTTTTCTGTCCTGCTTTTTTCAGTCATCACTGGAGTGCTATTGCCAGGTTGTCCCAAAGTGTCCACCACTGCCCTGTTGTTCAGATCACTGCTGGCTGTGATGTTTGAGAGGGCTGATGGCTGTTGAGGCATTTTTTGGAGCCTCTCTGGCTGGCTGATTTGGGGTTAGCACCCCCGTGACTGCAAAGGAATTAACTAACTAATATTTCCATTTCTTGAACACTTACTGGGAGTTTTAGGCCTATTTAGGCCTAACTGTACATATTATTTCATTTAGTCATCCCAAAAATCATAATTAGATTTTATTATCCCCATCAATAAGGAAAGTACTAAAGCTAGTAATGTGCAGATTTGGGACTGGAACTCAGGTCTTTCTGATTCCTGTCAGTGTTCGCTTGCTATACCATCCTGCCAGATAGCCAGGAGACTCATCCTGTGTCTTGAGTTTCTTGGTAATATTACCACTTTCTTTCTTTCTAGTAGAATAAAACATATCTAAACTTACTTTCAAGTTAAAAGTGGAATGGCGAATTAACATTTGACTTCCCCAGAGAGTCCATCCTGTGAGTAAAGCTACTCGTCTCGAGTAGTCTTGCAGCCACTTCCGTTGGAACTTCGTGTAAATGTCTGGGCCCTGGGCTCAGCCTTCGTGACCGTGCAGCAGACTGAAAAATTAGAACAAAGATATGCTGATTGATACTCCATAAAGGAGCAGCATGTTGGAAATGAGTTTGGGGATTTGATTTCATTTCCAAATTTCACGAGAATCTTGGCCTAGAATTTTGCCTGGGACTACTTGGTGGTCCCCAGATTCCTGCGCTGTGGGTCTCCATGCTCACCTAACAGGGCTTCGTCCTGAGGCTCACAGGGCCTGCAGCTGATGAGGAGCTTTTTAGTCGAGTGTCTGCCTGGGGCTCTGAAGCCATTGTGCCCAAGCTTTCCATGAAGAGTCTTTTTTAGGGCTTGAAGTGATTGTAATTCCAGTTGTTATACAGTGTTTATGATTTGGTTTCTCATTACATTCAAATGCTATAAGAAGGATGCAGGAGTGCGTAACTGATTGATTACAACCTTTCATCTTCCGTAGGGTCTGTGAAGGAGTCAGTGGGAACTGAGGGACTGGAGGCCAGGGCTGGTGCTCTTGGATGGCTGTCACCTTTATTTAGATGATAGCCTCCTCGAGGGCACTGGCTGAGATCACTGTTTGTTTTCTCTTCCCCGACATCGTCTATCATATTTAGCCCCCAGGGGTGCAGTTGAACCTCTGGGAGTGTCCAGGTTTGTGATGGAGGCATCAAGCACTCCTGCCTCTCCTGTGTAGATCTCCTTGGTCTTCTGCCCGTGGCTGGATCTCACTGTACTGGAATCTCTCTCTGCACCTGTGCTGTACGCTCCTGGAAAGCAGAGGCTGTGTCCTTCTCAAATTTGAATATCCACAGATCCTAGACCTAAATAGAAGTCTTCTAGAAGAAAACATAGGAGAATATGTTTGCAACCTCAGGGTAGGCAAAGATTTCTTAGGCAAGGATGTAGAAAGCATTAACCATAAAAGAAAAAATTGATAAATTGAGCTATTTCACAATTTTTGCTTATCAAAAGACTCCCTTAGGAAAATAAATGAGCAGCAGACTGGGGGAAAATATTTGCAAAGCATATATGACTAAAGATTTACATTCAGAATATATAAAGAACTCCTACAACTCAATAATAAGACAAATGAAGTAATTTAAAAAACGATCAGAAAATTTGAACAAACTCTTTACAAAGGAAGATATACAAGTGGCCAATAATCGTGTGAAAAAGTGTTCCACATCATTAGTTATTAGGGAAAAGCAAATTAAAGCTACCAGAATGGCTAACATGAAAAAGCCTGATAACATCAAATGTTGGTGAGCATGTGGAGCAACAGTAATTCCCATACATTATTGGTGTACAGTGTGTAAAATGATGCTGTCACTTTATGAAAGGTCTGCAGTCCTGTGGGCGGGGTGGGGGGAGGGTGGAGATTAAACATGAACACGAATAATATAGGAGAAGAGAGAAATGACATGATGGCCTCGAGTGGTTATGAGAATTCAGGGAAGGAAGTGGCAGCTTACACTGAAAGGCATCAAGACAAGCTTGGAGAGGTGGTCTTGGAACAGATCTTTGCAGGGGGAGTCAGCCCTGGAACTGTGGGATGGAGAGAGGAGCCCTCAGGAGAGAGACGATGACAAGCAGGGAGCTGAAGTGGGAAGACGCAGGGAGCCTGCCTGCTTGTTTTTTGTTTTGCCTACAATATCCTTGCATGGTTGATTCCTTTCTGTTCCCTATCTAAAGGAGAGTCTGCCCTCTTAGTACATTTCATCGCACTTAGAGTAATGACTTTATTTCTTTGTTCACTTACTTATTGTCATCGTCCCCCATGGTTCTAAGCAGGGCTTAGAGGTCAGGAACTTGTCTATCACTAGCATGGAAGCCTCCTGAGGGCAGAGGTCTTGGCCTGTTTTGTTCTCTGCTGTATCTCCAGCCACAATAGTGGTGGGCACAGAGAAGGCATTCAATAACCATGTGTTGACAGAAGAGAAAACCAGTGAATTAGAGTGGTTCCATTTGGCCAGGTCGTAGGTAGGCAGTGGGACCTAGAGTTACAAGGGCATATTGGGGTGAACTCAAGAGGTCCTGGTGTGCAGAAGGCATGTGGGCTCCATGTTATAGTGCTGGAGGGCTTCTGAGTGTTCTGAGATGGGAGTGGTGGGCTCTGAACTGTGCTTCAAGAGTACTGGTCTGGCAGCTGCATGTGGATGGATTAAGGAAGGCAGAGAAAGGTGGTAGGAAACCACTTAGTCTTCTTGGTGAGAGCTAATGAGGGCCCAAGTGAGGGCGTGGCAGGGGGGCACCGAGGAGAGGGATGGGTGGGAGGGACTGAAGAGCACCGATTGGCAGGGCTTCCAAACTATGCCCCTGTACTCACAGAACTATCTGGGAAGCAGATTTGTTGTCAGGGCTGGGAGAGGGAGAGAGCTGCCCCCTCGAGCAGTGTGGCCTTGAGCAGCAGGTGGGCTCTGCCATCCTTCCTCTCTGGAGGTGACTGTGGGTGCCGAGCAGTAAGCAGAGCCCCAACCCAGACCCTGTGTGGTTTTGCACAGGCTCTCAGTACCTCTCTGAGCTGCCAGTTTCCTTATCTGTGAGCTGGGGTAATATTGGCTTGTGGGATTGTTGTAATGTTATATCTGGTACATTCAGTTTACTGGCTCATAGTAGGTGCTTAAGAAACAGAAGTTATTACTACATCATAGGGTTGTTGGAGGAATTCAGTTAGGTCACGGATGAAAGAAAACTTTTTCTAAGCCATGAAGTCTTAAGTCTAAGTTGGTGCTGTTATTATTAACAATTCATATCTAGTTACATGGTTCTACATATTTTGTTTTGAGAAGTTTTGCATTTGATGAAAGTCGCTGCCAGAATCCTAGTGTCTGGATGAACTATTGTTCCTTTTCTTTTCTTTGACAAAGGGACTTAGAGTAGCTGTTTTATGTGATATGTAGCAAGTACCTTTGTTCTGGAGAATATGGGCCTTATTAGTAAAAGGACAGGATGAACTTGAAGAGATGGGCTCATAAAAGGTTCCGGAACGTCCACATAAAGCCGTCTCAGTGCTTTCCCTGATCCTGCCCTATCACAGTGCAGTAACCCGCCTTTGCCTTCCTTGGTGTTTCATCATGTCTTTGTTTTATGAAAAAGATTTTTTTTATATGTTTCCTTTTTCATTTGTAAGTTTCTTTCAAAAGCTTTTTACTTTCTTTCTGTGCTTCAGCTTTCTGAAGAAGAAAAAATTCAGCGATACAGCATCCTCTCTGAGCTCTATGAGTTGATCGGCTTCCGTCGCAAGGCGGCGTTCTTCAAGCGCGTGGCTGCTATGCAGTGTGTGGCCCCGAGCATCTCGGAGCCTGGGTGGAGGGCCTGCTACAAACTCCTCCTGGAGACGCTTCCAGGCTACAGTCTGTCCCTGGATCCAAAAGACTTCAACAAAGGTACCGAAAGTCCTGTTGCCGGAACTAAAGTGTCGCTTTAATTCAGCTACCCATGTGTTGTTTGAGCACCTGCTCTACGTGCTAGATACCGTGACTGGTGCTGGGGTTCAAAGATGGCTGAAGCCCTGCACCCTTGGCTACTCATGATAATAAAATTATAGGAAGAAGTAGTGGTGCTTTGCTTGGGGGCTGGCATTCTTAAATCTTTATCAGTGCAAGTCAGAAATCTTCCCTGAGGGCCAGCCCCATGGCTTAGCGGTTAAGTGCGTGTGCTCCGCTGCTGGCGGCCCGTGTTCGGATCCCGGGCGCGAACTGACGCACCGCTTCTCCGGCCATGCTGAGGCCGCGTCCCACATGCAGCAACTAGAAGGATGTGCAGCTATGACATACAACTATCTACTGGGGCTTTGGGGGGAAGAAAATAAATAAATAAAATCTTAAAAAAAAAAAAAGAAATCTTCCCTGAGTTCGTTGACATGGTGTATCATCCACAAAACACCTTAAATACCTAATGAATTTTACTTACCTTATGAAATTTAGCCAAGTTAGCAAAAATCAATCAACCCAGAATAAACATACTTGGGTATACGTGTATACATATAGTATGCATTTGGTGATAAATCCTTACTCTGCAATATTAACGCAGGGTAGTACATATTAAAAGTAAAACTATAAATCTAATAACAAGTATACACAAGTGTAATGCCCAGTATCAGGCAAAGTCTGATTAGCAGGAGAAAAAAATGATTTTTGGTTACGATTTTAGGTAGGAAATACATAGCACTTTTATCTAGTTTGTATCTAGAGTTAGTGCAGGCATAGGCTTCTAGACAGGAAAAGAGCTGAGGTGTCATCTAGGTTTTTGTTCCACCAGGGCGAGAATGGACTCTGCAGCCTGGTTTTCATATGGTCACGTATGTCAACTTAAAGACCTGTACTGACCTGAGGGGCTCGTGGTCTCAATGGTGAATCCAGTTACGCTTTTGTGTAATTCTAATTATTAGATCTCTCCCGTAAATTGAATAAAAAATCACCTTCCTCCTTACTTTCACCTACTGTAATATCTCACTTTCCTTTTTTGTACATTCATTCAGCAGTGATTTGTTGCACTCTTGCCTGATGTCATGGTGTGTTTGGTGAGTGAAGCAAAGGTAAAAAAGACAGTTCCTGGGGCCGGCCCCATGGCTTAGAGGTTGGGTGCGCGCACTCCGCTACTGGCGGCCCAGGTTCGGATCCCGGATGCGCACCGGCGCACTGCTTGTCTGGCCATGCTGAGGCGGC